TGGACTACTGTTGTTTAGCATTACTTTTGTATCATGCCCTACAAATATTTTGAGAAATAAGTAACATAAGAATTGAATAAAAAAATAATTTCAAAAAAATATTTATTTAACAAATTATCTTAACTTAATTTTATTAAACTTTATCAATTATAAAAATTATAAAATTTTATAAACCATATATTGTTAAATATTATAACCCTAATGGTTTATATGATTATATATTATTTTTAAAGCTATATATTATAAACCTATTAAAAAAAAAAGAAAAATTTTCAAAGAAACAAAGTAAAAAAAATTTCTTTTTAACTATATCAGATACTGTATAATGTATTAAAAATATTTATTAAAACATAATAAGTTTTTTTAAAAAACTTAAGCTAAAAATGCAATTTTTTCTATTTGCGCAAAAAAATTAGGGTAAGGGGATAAATTTAAATATAAAATCTTAAATCTAAACTTTTCTTTAACAAATAAAATAAGAAAAATTTTAAAAATAATAAATATTAATAAAACAATAAATATTTAATAAAGATCTTTATTAAATTATTTTAAAGATTCTCAATCCTTTTTCTATTAAATGTAATCTATTCTGGTAAATCAATCTTTTAGATGTTTCAGTAAATCCCAATCTTTTACTTTTTATTCTATTTTGATTCACTTCAAACGAGGCTGCAAACAATCATTATTAAGTTGGAAGTTTCTAGAAATAAAATAGACCAAGAAAATGACAAAAAACTTAAAAAACTGTAGGTTGTATGAGTCAAATGCTCTTCTTTAAGATGTATTATTAAATTTTAATCAATTGCAACAAATTATTTTGGAAGAAAAAATCTTACAATACTTTATAAGTATTTTATCTTAGGAATGGTGCAAATATAAAAACTGGACTATAAAAAAACGAAAAAAAGATATGATAAAAGTCAATTGGAAATTATCAATTGAATTCAATCTTTCATGAGAACTACCATGAAATCATCATGTGGCTGGATAGTTCACACCACCATTGAAATGAAAATGAAATCACCATATGGTTGGATAGCTTAGTTGGTTAGAGCGTCAAACAAAAAGTTTAAACCCGGACTGTTGCAAGATACAAGTTCAAATCCTGTCACCGCTAACTCAGCGCTTGAGTAGTACTTCGGTACGCAAAAATGTTAGTCAATAACAGACGCTACTTTGGATTAGTCTTAATAACTATTTGTGGCTGTTCCTATGCTAAGCCAACGATATCTTTGGATATAAGAACATTGTATAGAAAAATATAACATGAAAACTCAAATTAAAAAAAAATTAAAAAAATGATTTTTTAAAACCTCAACACAAAAAAAAATGGTCTAATAAGAAAAAAATCTCACTTTTTTAATTCTTCTTATTTTTACAAATTTTTTTTTTTACTGAACTCACCTTCTTAAAAATGCAAAGCTAATACAGTCAAAGAGACTAATCTTTTTTTTTTTATGTTCTTACATTATTGTTAAACACTCTCAACCACAATTTATCAGGTGATATAAAAAAAACTATTGAATCAGATTAAAACAGGTTAAAAAAAATTTTTTTTTGCTCTTAATATTATTCTAATCAAAATTTTCAAAAATTTATTGTTTTAATGAAAATATATAAAAACTTATATAACAGATGATACAAAAAAAAACTATTGAATCAGATGGTATAAACACCTATAAAACAGGTTATTTTTTAAGCACATTTTTAATTTTAATTTTTTTAAATAAAAAAAATAAAAGTTATTGCAACTTTTAAGGTGAGACTTTTTCCATAAAAATCTTAATATCTTCTTTCTTTAGCTGATTCCAAGATCTTAAATATCTTCTTTAGCTGAAGCTTTTTTATGTCATGCATTTCAAAACAGTATTCAAGTTTTTCTACTCCTATTTCAATTTTTTTCTCGTGAATCTCTCAACATGCTGATACCAATCATCTGCATCTTAAAACTCTACTTGTGCAAACCACCATAATATTCTTGATGCACCATCACACTTACTATTTCCAATCATCACTTCTTATCTATTAAAGTACTTCAAAAAAATGACTAATACAGATTGCTCAAAAAAAAGACCTAAATACTGCTTTAAGTACCTGGGTCCAAAACAAGCATATAAGTCTGTATAAAGCAAAATGTTTTCAAAACATATATCTATAGACATTTTATCTTAAATTAAAATTCAAGCTTTATATATTTATATGTATATATCTATAAATATAAATTTATTTTTTAATTTCTTAAAGAAGCTTCAGAACTCCTTTCTTTACAATGACACAAGCTTACACACTAATCTTCAATAAATAATTGATGTTGCTGTTAATTTTATTTAAGCAGTAATATCAATCTTCAAATTAACAAATCTAAAATAAATAAACTCTTTACCATTCCAAAATATAAAAAATGTTTTTATTTTAAAGGATTTTAAACCAAATAGATGGTGTTGCTATTGGCTCCCATTAGCACTTATTCTTGTTAACTTACTTATCAACAGTTTTGAAAAAAGCCAGTAATTATAAATGTTGCGCTGATAATATTTTTTCCCCATTCCAAAAAACATATTTAATAATCAATCTGAATGCACAAACGAAGCAATCAAGAAAAAAAATTTCAAAGTTTATTGTGGCTCCATTACAAAATGTTTATATAGGCATATTATTTACTAATATACAAGTATATATGGGCTTTTTTTTCTCAAAAAATTGTTTTAAAAGCGGTAAAATAAATTAAGATTTTTAACATAACACCAATAACAAATTAACATTACATCCACAATATCTAATTAATATATAAATATAAAATAATAAATATATAGATAAATATATAATACATAGTATATTATACATTATACCCATTATAATATAGTATATTATACATTATATCTCGGCTAATAACCCCTGCTAGTATTATTGTATAGCCAAGGCAAGGACCAGGACTGGAGTTGTGTTTGTAAAAAGCTTCATGCTTAAATAAACTTTTTTTTAAAAATGTCTTTATGCTTTTGGAGTTGTTAAATGAAAACAAAAGGCTTCAATAACCCTAAACATTTTAAACATTAAATAGTAAATATTTAGCAAATTCAAAAGTTTAGCATTGCATGATTCAATGTTAATATTTATTATTACTATTATTATTAACACTGTTATATAAAAATGAAATCAAAAAAATAACACACCAGCATAAAGTACTAGACCAATAACAGATGCTGTATTTTTCACAACACATCCACGCAAAAGCAGGTGGTTTCCATCAACACCTGTTTCTTTTCCATTTTTATAAAGACTAATAAAAAATAGACTTAAAAACACAAAACTATTGAACAATACTTTAAAAAAATGAAATTATTGCACAATATACAGTTTAGACTTTTTTTTTAAACCAATAAAACTCTTTTTAAAATAATTACAAATTAACAATATAAACAAACAAAAAAAACTGCTTACATAGATCCACAGAAATTATGCAGAATATTATTTGGCTTTTCACACTTCACTTTAAAATCAATATTACGTACAGAAAATTGTTTGTCATTCTATATATTAAAAAAAGAACAATTATGAATAATATTGAAACTAAAATTTATAACTAAAAAAACTAAAAATTAGCTGAGTAAACTTTAGTTCAAAAAATTATTTTGCAAATATAATAAAGCTCTACGCTACTAGTTTCAGTCTCACCTAGTTATTTAGAACTATTTAGTTATTTTTAATTTTAATAAAATTAAAAAAAAAGTTAAAATTGTTTTATTTGTACCTTTTTATAGTTAAAATTAAATATCTTGTTCAATAACCTTTTTGTTTCATTTTTTTTTTAATTCATTAATAAAAAAAATTACTTAGGTATTTCATTTAAGATGTTTGTTAGTAGAATAACAAATTGTTCTGCTAATAAATTAGTAGTTATTTAATTGAGTAAAGGAAAATTTGCAACAACACTATATAATAACAAACCTTTAGTGCCTAATAATTATAAATTATATTTGGTTCATTTAACTTCTCAATACAAAAAAATTTTAACCCATACTTTTAAACCCATAAATGATATCTTTATTTTTTCAGGTGTTCATCGTATGTTAGAATTACCTTAAAATTCATTTTTAAAATCTTTTTATCAATTAGTAAACTTTTTTGAAAGTTTGAACTGGAATATGGTGTACATATCTATAAGGAAACAGTACATAATCTTATGTTCTCACAAGGAATACACTCATAACAAAAATCTTTCCTTTTGCTATTTTTACTGCATACAGCACACCTTCCTTGAGGTGCAGTTTTTGGTACCTGAAAAATTTATGCACTAATTGCATAAAGACTTGATCCTCCACCTTGCCCAGATGTTACTGTCATAATTGTAAAATGAAATTAAAGCATTAAAAAACCTTATTCTGAACTCAAAGGTTTCAGTTTGTATAATTTGTGCATTAAATGTAAGAAAATAATTAAATGCACAAATTATAATTACATTTAATGCACATATAATTTGTGTATTAAATATAAGAAAATTAATGAGATGGAAATAGAACTTCTTATTCCACTTTTTTATCCTTATATGCTTATACAAGTACTAAGATCAAAGCCACCCATGCTATTGTTGTAAATGTTAATAAAACAGTTGGTACTTTTCAAAAGACTGTTTTTGTATTATCTAGTATGAATGTATTCATTGCGTAAGCATCACATTTATCTTTATATTGCATTACCATTAATTTTTTCCAATAATGGTATGCAACACATCTTTCTCTAGATTTCAATTTTTTATTATTAATGCTATTTGGTAGATTTTAGCAAAATGTACCTACTTTCTGTAGGGAGGTAGTTTTACTGACATCAGTTTGTAAATCAAATCTTGGAACAAGAAAATCTCGTGATTTTCTTGTTCTAAGATTTTCTTGTTCTTGTTTTCAAGATCTTTGAACTAGAAAATTGCTTCGAACAAGAAAATCACTGAGAAGTACCAATTATCAAGATATATGCACCTTTTAACTTCTAAAAGTCGCTCAGATAAATGACATTACTACATCAGCGACTAGATGTATTGAGAAATTTCTGAACATTCTGTTATACCATATATGCTAATGCAAAGGATTTAGTACCAAAGGGATTTTTTTATTGATTGATGATTGCTTAAAACTAAGCAATTATGTTTTCCACAACAATAGTGTTGTAAATAGTTTCAGTTGTAAATAATTTCTTTTTTTTTTCTTGTTAAAACTTGTCTACAAATGTGGAAATTATCTACAAACTGAAAAAATCTTTCCAGTAATATTAAATTGTTGTGAAAAGATATATATCTTTTCACAAAGATATAGAAGACTATCACTGTGAAATGCAAACTTATGTCACAAAAAGTAAATATAGCTTCATTATAGATGAATTTAAATATATAAAAGTTTCTTTAAAATAATTTGCCTCTTTATTTTTTTAAAATAAATGTTAATTGGCTAAAAAATGTACTCATAAAGCTTATTTATAATAAGTTCAAATTATTCAAAAGGGACTAATTTTTTAAAATCTTCATTATTTTTTTTTCAGAAATAAAATTAAATTGTCTCATTCTTTTAAAAAAAAAAGGTTAAATTTTTATAACAACTAGTTTTTTTATTTTTGTCAGAGCTGGACCATTATTGCAGATATCTTGCTTAATTGAATATTCAAAAAAATATAATCTAAAACCTCACCTAATTTCATAGTTTTTTATGCAAAGTTTGTACATTGGTTGGAACTTAGGCAACTGCAATAACTGCATTAAGAAATTTAAGAAAATTATATCATAGATTTTTAGATAGTGATAATTGATAAATTATGCGGGGTTTTACAAAGATTATCAATTAATTTAATTACTAATGGTCAATTGCTTCAAATCAACTATTCAAATATTGCAGACTGAAATTAATTATTATTTCCTTGATAAATAAATACAACTAGCAATTTATTAAAATTTACACACAAAAAAAAATATTGCATTATTTAGCAATAATTTAGCTAATATTGCATTATTTAGCAACACTGAGTTAAAATAACTAGGAAATTGTTGGAAATTAATAATAACTGTAAAAATTATTTAGGTAAAAAAATATTACTAAATAAAACTTCAGATAATCGCCATTTTTATTTACAAAGTTATGGACTGTCAAAACCTACTGTAAGTTTCAGATTTTGGTCTATTATATTTGCTATATACAAATTGATCTATCAAATTTTCAGGGTTGCACTTTTTCAATAAAACCTGTAGGTGATCAAAATTTTATTTATATCTGTATCTCTGTATTAAACTTATCTATATTTTAAAAACTAAAAATATGATAAACATATAATCTTAAATATGCTTAAAGTGAAATATATTATATATGCCAACAACTTCAACAGGTGATAAGTATGTTGAAACAAATTATAAAGGTTTGTTCAAATTACTCAATTAACTAGATATTAATTATATTAAAAACTTGATATTAATTAGAATTAGATTAAAATAATTTAAGTTAGACATAAAAGTAAGTTTTAATTTCAGCAGCTTATACAATTAAAATATCAATTGTCCATAGCAGATGAATCTTATCTAGTTTTAAAATTAGAGCGACTTTATATTTACGCAGCGTAATTTAACATTTGAAATAATTATATCAAATTCATACGAAAATTCAAACAATTTATTTAAAAATTCTATAACTTTTATTCTTGTATTCTTCTTTGTAAGTTTTATCATTATATATCATTTTTAACATAAAGCATATTCTACTTCAAACATGATTGTTGCAAACAATTTTGGTACAAGAGATTAAACTTAGCTGCAATAATACAAATAAAGCTTTATAATGAATTCAAAACACTATTAAAAAATATAGAAGAATAAAAATTACAAGTCAACCTTATAACTTGCTGCTGCTCATTAATCAATGTTACTTATACTATTAAAAATCTTTTTAAATATTTAAATTTTATTTAAAATAGATGTTACAAATACAAGGGTTATTTTATTCTATACAATTCAATTTTTGATAACAGAAAAATAGACTTTGTACACAAGTAATAAGCTTTGTACAGAAATGTGCAACTTGGCTTTTATTATTTACAAAATATTCGCTACTTTATTTTTTGCAACAGTACGCTACTATTTGCTATTTTGCCACTATTTACTATTGTTAGAAGAAAAACTAAAAAGTTAGTGGACTAAATTTAGCTAGACTAAAAACTAATCAACTGATTTTAGTTTAAAAAATGTTGATTCACTAATTTTTATCGAACTAAAAAGTTAGTTGACTAATTTTAGTTAGGCTAAATGTTTATAAAATAGTATTAAAAACCTAGATAGTAAGTCAGTTAATTTAAACCAAAATTAATTGTTACTCACAACTAAAAAAAAATTTCATAAAACAACACAATCAAAAAATTTTCTTACCTCTAAGAAACCTTTAGGAATTTCTTTTTGCTTTAAGTTGGTTTCACCATCTAAATTTGCAGTTGATATATGACAAAGACCATTTTCATCACTTGAGTATAATAACAACATATCTGCAGGAATTAATGAATCACTAGTTAATTCAATGATGTCACCAACACACACATCTTTCCATTTACTGGAAACAAACTTAGCTTCTTCACTAAGAATCAAATAGTAAGAAAATTTATTTTTACAAAAAAACATAAATATCCAAGTAATTAAAAAAGAAGATATTAAAGTAAAGCTGTCCCAGTATATTTAGACACACGTATAAAATATATTTATTTATTTATTTTTTTGCTACATTTTTGAAATACAAAACAACGACTGGGTAACTTCATGTTATAGAGCTGATTAACAAATTTCCTGTTCCTTTTTTAGCTTTTATTTGTTGTTCAATGGTGTGTTTAGGAGTCTTTTCATATTTTCTGTATTGAATATTCAATTTTTTTTTAATTGACAACCAATTGTCAATTGATTCACAAAAATTTAAGATGCAATTTTCTCTTTCTAAAAGTCTATTTAACTTAGCTTACTCTTCTCTAGTCCATGATGTTGGACAACCAGAACACGAAAATGAGCTGTTTTAGGTCTTTTTAAGTCATAAATTGTATTTTGTGCTTTTTCCTTTTTTTTTTTGAAATGATTTTTGATTTTACTTTTTTTTTATATAGTATGATACAAATAAACTTTGAGACAATTTCAAAAAGATATTCATTCTGCTGCATTTAAACTCATTTTTAACAGATTTGTTTTAAATAATAAAATAAATATTTCATAAATTTTTATGTATATCAAACCACTGGATTGTTTAACTAGCTAGAAAAATTTAATTAAAATTTTTTTAATCATTTATGCATCACCTGCTACATTTAATAAGGAATCAAAACAGAAAAGTAAAAGAAGAATGCCTAAAACTAAATTTATTTAGAAAAATTAAGAGCTTTGGGGTTGTTACAGAAACTAATCTGACAAACTTACCAAAACACAAAAAAAAACTTTAAAACATTAAGCTACAGTTAAAAATTATATATTACGATAATAGGTTAATATACACAATGGCTAAGACCATTTTTTACTTTAAAGAAGCACCATAGATCTATTACATAGATCTACTACATAGATCTATATAGTTGAACAAAATAAATTGCTTGCAGAGATATTGTTTTTTTGATACAAAAAACATATTGTAGTAGCTCTTTTAAAATTATGTTCATTACAGCAACTACACATTAAACTATTTAACATATCAGATTCCAACAATAATGTTTGCAACAATGACAACCATGTTTGTAAAAATGTAAATAATGTTTGCAACAATAAAAATGTTTGTGTGTATGTATATAAATACATCACAAAAAATCATAAAATTTAAATCATTATTAAATTCACAGAAAATCAAGTTTTGACATAATTGAGAAGCAAACCACTTATGACAAATCAATAGTATTTTTTATTTATAGACATCAATTTGTAAAACCAACTTAAAAACATGGCACAAAATTTTTAGAATTATTATTATATTTAAATAAATCTGACAAAAATTGTAAGAAAGCAAGCTTGAGAACTTGTGTTAATTTAAATTTATTTATCTGAAAAGGCCAGCTTAAAGTATACAGAAGAAAAAAATAGGTCTCGGCCTATGTTTGGGCATGCATAATTTATGTACTGCACACACACACACCCTTCCAAAACCTGAAAAATGTAATTTACTAATAGTAAACTACTTTAAAATATATATATATATATATATATATATATATATATATATATATATATATATATATATATATATATATATATATATATATATACAGTGGGCAAAATAATTGTCCGTACATTAATGAAAAATATGGTTTTTTGAAAAAAGCCCTATAACTTTAAATGATAGAAAAAAATAAATTAAACCAATAGATAGCGCACAAGAAAACAAATAAAAACGATACACTATCTTTAATTTTCTCCTGACAATTTAAATTATAATTAACTTATTTAAAAGTTTTAAAAATTTTAAAACCAAAAAATTGTCCGTACATTTGATTCAAAACGTAAAATTTTGTTTATAAATAATTTTTTCTAACATCTTGTACTTTTAGGTTAAATAATACTATAATAAATAAAAATAAACCTTTTCTTTACTACGTGGCTATGATGGAAGCAAAAAGAAAAGAATATAGTATTGACTTACATAAACGAGTAATTTTTAATAGGAAAAATGGATTATCAATCAGAAAAGTTGCAAAAATGTTGAAAATACCACCAAGCTCTGTTCAATATATATGGGAAAAGTATTTAAAAACAAAATCAGTGGCAAATAATAGTGTACGAGGCAGAAAAAGATCAACAACGCCAAGAGTTGACAGGTGCATAGTTGGGAAAATCGAGCAGAATAGAAGAAAAAATGCCGTAGAAGTATCAAAAGAGCTGGAAAATGAATTAAATATTAAATTATCGCCACAAACAATTAGGAACAGACTGCATGAAGCCAATATTTTTGCACGGACGCCTCGGAGAAAACCATTCATCAGCATAGTGAACAAGAGAAAACGGTTGCAGTGGGCAAAGGAACATGTTCTGAAGGATGAAACATTCTGGAATATGATTATTTGGTCAGACGAGAGTAAATTTAATTTATATGGAGCTGATGGTGGTGCAAAGGTTTATAGAAGAGTTGGAGAAGAATATAATGTGAAGTGTTTGAAGGCAACATTTAAATTTGGTGGTGGAAATGTTATGGTTTGGGGCTGCATGAGTGCGTCCAGTGTTGGCAAAATTGAATTTATTGATGAGAAAATGGATCAACACTTATATAGATCCATATTAGAACGGAATTTGGTGGCTTCAGCAGAAAAATTAGGACTTGGAACAGAATTTATATTCCACCATGACAACGATCCAAAACACAAAGCTGGTTCTGTAACCAGATATCTTGCTGCAAATGGCATTAACGTGTTGGATTAGGTTGCACAATCGCCCGATTTGAACCCTATAGAACATTTATGGTCGGTGGTGGAAAAAAGAATGAAAGATCGAGCTCCAAAGAATAAAAACGAGCTCAAAGAATTGGTTTTAGATGTTTGGTCATCAATTAATCAAGAAATTACGCCTAAACTCGTCTCATCAATGAAAAATCGTTGTAGAGCAGTTATTGAAGCTGATGGTGGTCCAACAAGATATTAATTTAATTTTAACTAATTTTAATTTAAAAATTAACATAGTGTACGGACAATTTTTTTGTTTAAACTTGTAACTCTTTTCAAATAAACTTATATAACTTTTCATATATTAATATATTTTTAACTAATACACTTAAAATTACTTTAATATTATAATATTTCTTTAAAAACTCTTAATTAGAACTATCTAAATACTTTTAAATGTTGTTTTGATCAAATATAGACACTTTTCATTAATGTACAGACAATTATTTTCCCCACTGTATATATATATATATATATATATATATATATATATATATATATATATATATATATATTATGTTTTGTATGATGGTTTTGTTGTTTTGAGTCTACTCTGGTAATTAAAATGCTTTTGTTGTTTTGAAATCACAAGTAGGACAACGTGTGTTTTTAAAACAACAAAACCAAATCTCAATGCAGTGTGAAATAATAATAATAATAATAAGCATCTAGTGCTTCATAATTATCTATAACCTCAAAAAAAAATATTATAGGACTTTATATTAAATAATCATAAACATCATGGTATTGAACTCATGGCCATTCAGTTGAATCATCTTTCAATGTATTTGCAAGGAACTTGTATGGACATTGGTTAATTCCAAGTATTGCAAGTTTGTTTATATATCTTTCTGCAGCATTAAAATTTTTCAAAGTACTCATAAACCGTCATTTCTTTTTTTAAATTCTTTAAATCACTTTTTCGTACGAATTCTCCTGCTTTACTAACTCAACTAACTTTTTGTTTTCCCCCTTTCAATTTTTTACACTATTGTTATTTTGTATAATCACATGACTTTCCAACTGCAAGGATATTAATTGAAATAATAAAAGACAAAAGATTGCTGCCCCATGCCGAACCCTCAGTTGAAGAAGCAACACTCTCTTGTAACAGCAGGCTATAAGATAGTCGATGGATGTACTAAAGCCAATAAACATTCCATTTATTTATATTAAACCTGTTATAGTCTTGCAGAAGTTTTCTCCTGAGCTATCGTCTATCCTTTCAAAACTATTTAAAAAGTACTTATCAAAGTCTTGTTTTCCAGCCTGCTGCAAAGCAGCATCTGTTATCCCTATTTTCCAAAATTCTGGAGAGCAATCTGATTCGTCTAATTACCGTCCCATTAGTCTTCTTCCTATCATAAGCAAGGTTTTTGAATCTTTAATTAACATACACTTAATCTTGAATCTAATAACTTACTTTCTGATCATCAATATGGATTTCGATCTTCTCGTTCTACGGCTGATTTGCTAACAGTTATAACCAATAGGTTTTATTGTGCATTAGATAAAGGTGAATAGGTTAAGATCATTGGTCTCGACATTTCTAAAGCATTTGATACAGTTCGGCATGCCAGTCTTCTCCATAAGTTTTCTTCTTACAGTGTATCTGGTAACATATTTAAGATTATTGAATACTTCTTTTCCAATCGTAGTATAAAAGTTGTCCTCGATGGACAGCACTCTTCTTCTTATTCTGTAACCTCAGGGGTTCCTCAAGGTTCAATCCTTGGCCCTATACTCTTTTTAATTTATATTAACAATCTCCCAGATATTCTCACATCTAAGGTGGCATTGTTCGCTGATGATACTACCATTTATTCTTGTCATGATAAGAAGCCAACACTCTCTGATTGCTTGGGACATTTGAGCTTGAAAAGGATCTCACTTCTGCTACAGCATGGGGCTCACAGTGGCTGGTGATCTTTAATTCAGATAAAACTCAACTTTTTTCAGCCAATCGTTATCGCAATAATTTAGACCTTCCTATATTTATGAACGGTAATGTATTCAATGAATCATCTACCCATCATCTTCTAGGATTAACTTATACTTTCGATCTTTCTTGGAAACCATATATCAAATCCATTGCAAAATTATCTCTTTATCGAGCTTAACACTTTCTTACTCTGGATTCTACTCTCTATCTCTATAAATCTAAAATTTGGCCTTGTATAGAATACTGTTGCCATATCTGGAACAGATCTTCTAATGATGCCCTTTCTCTTTTAGACAAGGTGCAAAAACGCATTGTAAGCATAGTTGGATCTGCTCTTGCAGCCAACCTTCAACCATTATCACATCGTCGTAATGTTGCTTCTCTTTCCTATTTCTACAAACACTATAATGGGCACTGCTCTAAAGAGCTAGCGTCTCTTGCGCCATCTACTAAAATTCATTCTCATGTTACTCGTCATTTAATTAAGTCTCATCTTTTTTCTGTGACTGTTCCTAAGTGCTCCAAAAACTCTTATTCCTCTATCTTATTTCCTCAAACACCAATTCTTTGGAATTCGCTTCCTTTATCTTGGTATCCTGATTCATATAATTTGCAATCTTCTAAGTCATCTGTCAATTGTTATCTTTTTTTATATTTTTTTTTTATTTTTTTATTTAATATATTTAGTTTAAATGCTAGTTAAAATCACAATAAAAATCACAATTAAGAGAGTTCAGATTCTGAGAAACTACTATTTACAAACATCCATTTTCTTTTATTCGTTTCACAACTAACTTCTTGAATGCCTTCTTGTCTAGCAACTACGATTCATTTGGTAATTCATTGTATAATTTTATGCCATTCCAAACGATTGACTTTTGACCACTTTTCTTGTTTTGAATTTTTAAGTGATACTTTGCTGCATTTCTTGTGCAATAATTATGCATTTCACTGTTTTTTTTACAAAATTCTTGGAAGGCATCCATTTTCTGTAATTGAATTGTATTGTGTATAAATGACAATACTTTCACTTGAATATTTTTTTTTACAGATAGCCAGTCTAAACGAACCAACATGTCTTTGCTATGTGTGAACCAGTCACATTTCATAGCTTTGTTTTGTAACTTCTGAAGTATTTTTATATCATTTATACTTGCACCTAAGAATAATGAAGCACAATATTGGAAATGAGGTGCAATAATTGTATTAAAAATTAACGTTTTTGTCCACCTAGTCAGATATTTAGCGACTCTGGTAAAATACCAAGTTATCTTAGCAATTTTATCTGCAATATATTTAATGTGTTCGGAAAATTTCAACATATTGTCAACTTTAATACCCAGGTATTTGACACATTCACTAAATTTAACTCTTTCATTTTCCAAAATGATATATATGTTAGGATATTTTACCATGATATTCATGTATTTCACTTTGGAGCTTGTAATCAGCATACCCATCGACTTACTTGCATTCAGTTTTAGTCCATTTCCACTAAACCATATAGCAACTACTTCCAAGTCTAAATTTAATTTCATCATAGATTCTTCGTAATTATTACCTTCAATGTAAACTAATGTGTCATCTGCAAAGAGGTTGATGTTTATATATCTGGTACAACTGTTAATATCATTCATGTATATTATGAATAACAGGGGTCCTAGTACTGACCCCTGAGGCACACCAACGTCACAGAGTAGTTCCGATAATAACTGATCGCCAATTCTTACTCTTTGAGTTCTTCCTGTTAACTTATTTTCAATCCATTGTAGAACAACGCCTCCCACTTTATAACACTTTAATTTTTCAAACAATACTTCCTTATTGATGGTTTCAAATGCTCTCTTTAAGTCTAACATGACTGTGATGACGAACATGTCATCATCAATTGCTGCCCTCCATTTTGAAATGAGTAATTGAACTGCTATTTCAGTGGAGTGATTTTTTCTAAATCCAAATTGATTTTCATTAAATAGCTTATTCTCTTCAAAATAAGTAGACAACTGTATATGTGCACATAGTTCAAGTATTTTTTCATACACTGCTAACATATTTAGTGGTCTCATATCTTGTGGTAACTTGGGAGATGTCACTTTCGGTATGGGCACTATAGTAGATCTTTTCCAAGATATAGGTACAAAACCTGTTCTTAAAGACAAATTAATTATTTTCAGCTAATTTAAACTAATGACTGGGTAGATTTTTTTAAATATTGGTACATTCATATCTTCACACATACTTTTTTTGTCTTTTAAATCAATTACTATTTTGTCTAGTTGGTTTTTAGAAATTTCTCTGAATTCATTCATTGTCTTCTTATGATGAGGTATTTTTATGTGATCAGCAGCCATGTATTTATTCAACTTTGTTATTGATTTTTCAATATCAATAATACTCTGAATGAGAAATTCATTGTATTTATCAGCAATGGATTTATCACTTGAATCCTCAAACTTGACATCTTCCCAAATATCAAATTGAGCTTTATATTTAGTTTCAGTTAAAGTTTTTTAAGTCTTCCACATTGCAGCACTGTCACCTTTAAACATATTAATTTTAGTTTTATAGTAGTTGGCTTTCAATTTTCTCAATAGGCAGGTTTTGATATTTCTTAATTTTTTATAAATTTTGAATTGTTTGAAGCAATTTTCTTCACCTAAACCAAGTACTTTCATTGTTTTAAATTTACTCCACTCTAGATTTACTTTTTTACTTATTGCCAATAACTTTGGATTGTTCATCCATCTATTATGGAAATCTTTATTAACATATGTGATGGTTTTTGTTTGGACTTCCATGTTTATGGTTTCTTGAATACTATTAATGAATTGTTCAGCCATTTCATTAATATTAAGTTTCCTAAATTCCACCTCCTTTTCTCCTTTTCTTTAAGTTTAAATACCAACTCTTGATTTATTTTATTATAGTCAATTTTGTCATATAATTTAATATCTTTTAATAACAAAGTTGGTTATTCTTCACATAACAATTCTCTTTTAAATTGTATTGATACTTGAACACAACCATTTCATGATCTGAGATTTTATGTGATTCATTTTGCTCTACAATCTTTATTTATTGCTCTACAATCTTTATTTATGCTCTACAATCTTTATTTATCTTTATTTATTTTGCTCTACAATCTTTATTTTGCTCTACAATCTTTATTATGCTTTATTTTATTTGCTCTACAATCTTTTATTATGCTCTACAATCTTTATTTATGTGATTCATCTTGCTCTACAATCTTTATCTTTTCTCTTCCAGTAACTTCCAACTCTAATTAGTGGTTGCTTGCAGACTTGTTGGAAGCAAAGATCTTTAAAAAAAAAAAGCCTTCACTTTGAACAAGTCAACAACAAGCGAAAAAATTAAATGATTTTATGCTGCTATTCAGCAACATTAACTTATTATGTATATATATATATATATATATATATATATATATATATATATATATATATATATATATATATATATATATATATATATATATATATATATATATATATATATATATATATATATATATACATATAAATAGCACATATATATATATACCTAAAGTCCAAAAAATATTACTTGATAAAAATTAGATAATTAACTAGAGTAAAAAAGTCAACAAATTAAAGAATTTAATGAGAAATATCTAGAGTACAAAAGTACTCTAGACATTTAATCTAGTTTTATTTCATTTAAACATGATGTTAAATTTAGATATTTAATTTAAGAACAAAAATAAATATCTAAATTATTTTAGTATTTTACTTAATGGTTTAAAAGGTCTGAAAAGAAAACTTAATTTAAATCATAAATGGGTTTTAAAGCATTCAAATCCTAAATAGAAAAAGCTAAACAAAACAAACATTAATAAAGATCCCAGTATTAAACAAACAACCTTATGACTCTTAAAAAATTAACAAATACAAAATATATTTTGAAATATATCTTTTTACATGATTTTCTTGTTGTGATTACTTTTTTTATTTACCTTTCATAGACGCTGCAAATATAATTGTTCACCATCTTGTCAGATAAATATCTTTGTCTATCTTCAAATATATCTTTTAATGCAGTAACAGCCAGAACAAAAATGAGAGGAAACATTGCAATTTCTTTCCCAAATGCATTAACTTGTGGAATCCAGTTAAGTATTATAATAAATAAAAAGTATACATTAGCAAAACGATGAAACTGTTCAAATAAATTTTTAGGTATAAAAGTTAATATGGTGTATTTTGTAGTTTTAATTTTATTTCCTTTGTGTTCATGTTTATTGACTATTGTTTTGCTGACTCTTGGTTCAACTGTCCAATCACTAGATGATAAAGTTGCTGGTGGTGAAAACTTTCTCCAATACATCTTCACAGCAAACACAATATCATTTTAAAATTAAAACTAAAAAGGATAAATATACTTATAACTATATAATATATAGTTATAAGTTTATATATAATATATGATATATATTATATATATATATATATATATATATATATATATATATATATATATATATATATATATATATATATATATATATATATACATATATATATATATATATATATATATATATATATATATATATATATATATATATATATATATATATATATATATATATATATATATATATACATACATATATATATATATATATATATATATATATGTATATATATATATATATATATATATATATATATATATATATATATATATATATATATATATATATATATATATATATATAAAAACATTTGTATCTTAATAATTATTTGTTAACATTGTTATCGTTTCAGATGTAACCGAGTAAACTCTAATTATAACGGCGGCTTTTTACTTTGATTTCTATGGAATAAAGCGTCAAAGAGAAAGTTAATATTATGAACGCTGACGCAAAGGTTTAATTGCGTGGGTCACGACGCATGAAAAAATACCTAAAATCTGCTTATATACTGACAAAACATATATTTTAGGCTTGCAATTAAAGGAAAATTTTTCTACTTCTATATAGAATTTTTTTTAATAACTTTTTATTTAAAATTGTTTAACCTGGACTTTTTTTAATCGGGTAATAAAAACTCCTGTTCTTTTTTATTATTTTTTTAAATAAGCTTTTAATAAATTTTATTTTTTCTAAATATTATACTTTAATACAGAATTTCCCGCAATTTTTCTTTTTCCTCAGTTACATAATAACTGATTCAAGAGCATCAACAATTTGAACCAATCAAGTAGGCAGCAGAAACACTTTGTAGGAATGATGCTACCCGCATAACAGCAGAAGGAATTTTCAAGTTTCTGATTAACAAACAGAAACAAAAAATCAAGTATTTGAATCTAAATATGTAAGAAACATGAAACTTTAAAAATACATATTTAAAAAAAAAATGATGAGTTGGAGATATTGACTGATCATTCAATATGTCAATGATGATGAGTTGGACATTGTATCAGTGCAAAGGAGGTTTGAAAAAATTTCAGATAGAATAGTTCCACTTTGATGTTTGATTTTGAGAAACTGCTGATTCATTTTCAATAAACTGTTCCATCTTTTTTGACAGCCTAAAAAAAAGGTAATTTCTTCACCGTTTTGTTTTGTAACTTATTAGAGCATATCATTTTTGACCAGAGATTTCCAGAACAACTTAACAATTGTTCAAACTTTATTGATGAAAAACTGGAAATGAACTTTAACTTTTGGTAAAAGAATGCTTTGATTGATTTAATCATTAACGAGTCTTAAATTTTTTTCATTATCTGATTCGTCATCGCTTTTTCATTATCATTGTCATTTGACACTTCAGGGACATTTTCCTCACCAGAGTTGTAATTTTAAGATCCATAATAGATACATACAAATTTATTAAATCAAATATTTAAATTTAAGACAAAGCGCAAAACAACTTAAAAAGATCAGCTAAAAGCTTTAATTTTTAGAGTTAAAAATGTTTTTTTATTACTTTGAGAGATGGCTAAAACTGTAATTTGTACAAAAATAAAGCAAAGGATATATACTTTGTTTTAATTGAATGTTATGTATGCATAACATTTAACTTTGTTATGAATGCTACAATAAAACTTGGTTGCATGAAACATTTTAATATAATCGATCAAGTTCTGGTCGCAGGAAGGTCAACTAGCTGAGGGGGCTATGGCTAACCCGGTATTGATTGAGGCGGATCATTTACTTAGTTTTCTTCACTGGAATCGAATCAAAATGTGTTTTAATAGTTAAGAACCCATCCTCTACTAATAACATGAACCAATACTAGAACCCAATACTATCCTGATAGAGTCGTAATCAAATATTATTTATTAATTAAATATTCATAAAAACTTCGTATAAACTTTTAAAAAAATTAACTTTTTGATAGAAGGTTGATATAAAGGAAACATAGAGCTGATTTAAATTAAGTTAATCTTTTGATAGAAGCTTGATATAATATAAATATGGACGTTAAAAACGCGTCAAATGACGTTAAAAACGCGTTAAATTACGTCAATCTGATTACTAAAATATTAAAAAGTATTGAATTTTATATCTAAAATTAGCTTTTAATTTTTAATTAGTTTTACTACCTTTTTATACTATAAAAAGATAAATAAGTTATTAATATTAGGGTAATACAAGCAGAACAGTATCTAACAGTATCCTCTAATAAGTAATTCAATAGAACAGCTCGTCCTTTTCTCTTTCTACGATTGTTAATTTTGTTCTCTGGGCATCTGTCCAACTTTGCGTAAATATTACACTAACACTTCAACTTTTTTGAAAATCTTTTATGATTTCTTCCCTTTAGACGACCAACCATATTTTTCACGAACAATACAAACAACTTTGTTCTGAGTATCTAGTTTATGAACCTTGTTCATAAGACTTCATAGAGACATATAAAGAATAATTAGACATATAATGGCTTGGGTATGATCAATAAGGAGGATTTAAATTAAATAATTAAACTATGATTTTTATAAAGTAAAATAGACGAAATTGTGTGGCCGTGGCGCAGTGGTTACAGCGCTTGCTTTATAAGCAGGTGATCTAGGTTCGAAACGAGCTCCGTGACAAGACCGTTAGGTCTTCTTGGGGCACCTAAATAACAAAATAACAAAAAAAAATTAAACCGCAACAAAATAATATACTGTCCAACTTTGCGTAAATATTACACTAACACTTCAACTTTTTTGAAAATCTTTTATGATTTCTTCCCTTTAGACGACCAACCATATTTTTCACGAACAATACAAACAACTTTGTTCTGAGTATCTAGTTTATGAACCTTGTTCATAAGACTTCATAGAGACATATAAAGAATAATTAGACATATAATGGCTTGGGTATGATCAATAAGGAGGATTTAAATTAAATAATTAAACTATGATTTTTATAAAGTAAAATAGACGAAATTGTGTGGCCGTGGCGCAGTGGTTACAGCGCTTGCTTTATAAGCAGGTGATCTAGGTTCGAAACGAGCTCCGTGACAAGACCGTTAGGTCTTCTTGGGGCACCTAAATAACAAAATAACAAAAAAAAATTAAACCGCAACAAAATAATATACCACTCTAGCATTAATATTACCTGAATTAATAATCTTACCTGATATCTATTAGTTTATTCTAATTTACTATTATAAATTTTAAGTCTTAACCAATTATAAACATAAAAATTTAGCTTAAACTCTTAACCTATTAAATATTTTAAAGATAAATTTAAACATACCGTATATATGAATAATTAATTATTTTAAAATAATTTAAACTTTTTACCAATGTTTGACATATACAAAAAATTTAAACTCTCTACCTATTTCAAACATAAGAATGAATTTAAACTTTCTACCAATGTTTGACATATACAAAAAATTTAAACTCTCTACCAATTACAAACATAAAAATGAATTTAAACTTTCTACCAATTAAGGAATTTTATAAAATAAATTTGAGTATACCGCAATTTTAATTATTAATTATAACACAATGAAACTCTTTACCAATTATAAACATAAAAGTACATTGAAACTCTTTAGAATTTTTAAATTTTTAAGATAAATTTCAACATAACGCAATATAAATAATTTACTATAATAAAATTCAACTTTAAACCAATTATAAACATAAAAATAAATTTAAACTCTTAATTAATTTTAAGATCTTAATTAATTTTAAAAACAAGTATTTAATTAAATAAATAATCAATTAAATAAATAGTTTGTTTTAAAATAAAAATACGATATAAAATAGAATAACCTTAAAACTATTAATCAACTCCAATTGAAATTTAAAGTTCATTTATAAATATAAATATTTCATTTCATCCATTGACTCTTCTTTATCTCCCTACCAACACCAGTCCTAGTCCCTACCACCCATCTTTACGCAACCTCTACACTATTGCTACGGAAATTTGGTTTTATGTGGTTTTTACTGTTGTTCTAAAGATCTGTGTTCATATGTTGGGTCTACTGCTGACCCATCACTGGCTGATGCAGGTTATAGCTAACTCGACTTGTTTCTCCCAGCTGATTTGAATTCTGTTCTCTATCTACGCTATCTGATCCGATGGCGATTACAAATAATACCAAATATGTATTATATCTTATATTTTTAGGATCTTAATCATTTTTTACATTAACTATATCAATTTAATTTTCTATATTTTTGTATCTTAAAAACAACAAAACTATTTTATAATCTATTTATACAAAAATTTCGTTCAATAACAAAAAACATTTAGTTTCAATAACAAAAAACATTGTTTAAATAGTTGCCATAAAATTGTTATTTAGTTTGTTATAGCCATAATGGCGCTATTTACTGGTATAGCTATCGTGGTATTGGAAGGTTGTTTTTCTTTAATGCTGATTCGATTTTCTTCCAGCCACTATCGCTACGGATATTCATCCTAATATGGTTTTTACTACTGTTCTAACGCTCTGCTCCTTATGTGAAGTGTAGGTTGAGATCTGCTGGTAGGTCAACTAGCTAGGGGGGCTACGACTGTCCCAGTATTAATTGAGGCGTCAAGGATCACTTAGCTAGTTTGCTTTGCAGGAATCGGGTCACTATGTCCTTTTAATATTTGGAGATTCACCTACTGTTAATACCATGAATCAATACTAAAACCTTTCTCTCTAACCCAATATAGTCGTTTTAAACCAAATATCATTCATTATTTAAATATTTATATAAACTTAAAACATAAAATACTAACTTTAAATATAAATTTTTACTCTCTTTTTAAATTTGAAAACTTAATAGTCAAGAAACTGACTTGTGAATGTGGTAAAATTCATTAAGAAGACCCTTTAAAACTTCAATGGACGGCTTGTAAATGTTGTAAATGGTTTTGTGGTACTTGCTCATTTCCATTATTAGATATAGTTTTAATTTCAGATTATATATTTTTGAGTTTATTTTTCTTTCGGATACATACCTAAAAATTAAATTTCAAGTTGAAATTCAATTTTTAGAATCCAAAATAGCAATATATCCGATTCTATATACCACCATATATAAAATGTTTAAAACTATTAACTACAAACTTTTAAACGTTACAAACTTTAAACGTTTTAATACTAAATAATTTCAAAAAAAAACTACAGTGGCAAAATTAAATTTTTAAAAAAATAATTAAAGCAATAAATCACAAAAAACTTTTACATCAAATTTCAATATCTGCGTAATTGGGCAGCCGGGGCGCAGAGGTTAGAGTTCTGGCTCAGAACCAATAGGCCCAATGTTTGACGCTGGCTATAGCGCATAAAGCGACCTCGATAAAAAAAGAATGAACTTCCTAGTTATATGCTCTACCCCGGTGCTCTGTGATAAGATCGTAAAGACTTCTGGAATTATCCTAATTACCACAAATTAAAAAAAGATCCGTAAGTTGTTCCACTTCCCAATCAACAGAAGGCCGTTAGTTGGGAAGTGGAGCAATTTACAGATTTTGCCGTTTATATGCAAAACTATCAAAAGGGACAACGTTTAATATATTGTCCTGCACAAAGTTTTTCAAACTTTTTATTATTAAAACCAAAATATCTTTTTCAATTAAATTTATTACTATTTTTAAACAAAATAATTGACAAATCAAATTCAATACTTAGGCAAAAACTATTTTTAAATTTTTTGTG